TACTAGCATATAATAAGTGTATATATAAATATAAACTTTAATTGAAATTCACATAATATATTATATTTTATGTAATATAAAAATTTTAAATTTTTTCGGGGTTACAAAAAATCAATATAAAATATCTTGCAGTATGATTCTTTTATTTACTAAAGTTAATATATCAATATCAGATTTTTTTTAAGCTTCTTCTGTGCTACCTTACTTCACTTGCTATCAACAGTATAATTTGACACTGCTCTTTGCTAGAGAACATTTGAAAAAATCTTTTATCAGGCCAATGTTTTCTTTAGTTAATATTAAGCCCATTTTTTTATCCGTATAAATCAGTTTAAAAAAAAGTTAAAATGCTATTGAATACAATCTTTTAATTTTCTTTAAATTTCTAGATGTATAATGATTTGCCAGTTGTCACATGCTTTCTAAGCTGTCTGGTTAACTTATGACATTTCCAATTATTTTTTCACTTGTTCTGGAACTAGAAAGAAATTTGAGATTTTAAAAAATAATATTTGACAATCAAAGTTTTTTTTTTTTCAACATCTTTATTTATTCTGACGAGGAACAGGAAAGAAGTGAGAATCAACAAATTAAACTTTGGAGAAAGTTTAATTTGCTAGTTGAAAGTTTTTTGAAAGATTATGATTTTAAAGAGAGATGAACGATTATGAATGATTTTTAACATTAAATTTTTAAACATTCATTTTCATTAATTCATTAAGAAAAAAATGCAGCTTAACAATAAAACCATTTCAAAATTTATTAAGTTTTGTAGACTTCAAGCTGAGAGAGAAAGCCAAATACTATGTATATCATTTGTAGGGTAAATTTTATTCTTTAATAAATACTTTGCATAATCTTTAGTTCCCAAGATGTTAAGCCACCAATTTTAGAAAATTTTAATTTAGCATTTATCTATCAATTTTTATTGTGATGATACGTCATAATGAACAAATGATTTTCTATTGCTTTAAATAACTATTTAATAGCTTCAAAATATCGCACAATGGACCAAAATGGAGCCAAAACCCTTCAAAACCAACTTTTATGCTAAAGTAATTTCTTTTTGTAAATGTAATCTACCCCCAATGTAAAAGATCCCCAACACTTTAAAATTGATATAATTTTTTCTCTACTTTCATTTTTGAGCTTATTATAACAATTTTCAAATAACAATTTTACCACAAAAATAGCAATATTTTACTTTTCAAATATAATCAAGAACAAAAATAATGATTTTGGAGTATTATTAAACAATGGCTTAAAGACTTCTGTTATTTTAATTAAAAATTTTAAAATTAAAGTTTTCTTTTTCTCCATCTTCCAAATCCCATCCCCACCCCACCCCACCCACCTCCTCTAAAATAAACATGCCCATAAATGTTTCAATTAACATTTCAACTGTTATTTACTAATGATAAATAATAATGCTACAAATATACTTAACAAAAAGTTCACAGTTCTAACCAAACCGCTTTAATTATATAGATTATAAATTGATGAAATGTTTTTCAATATCTTCAAAATACTAGAATCAAGCTTAAAACCTTGGATTCAACTTAAGTGATTTTTACTTTAATGATTCCAATCTATCTCATGATTTAGAATAATGAAAGATTTTTAATTCAGTTTTTCAATCTAATAATAAACTTTAATTGACTTCACATTTTTATTTATAAGATTTCATTCTTTCATACCTTTTAACTCTTAATTTAAACTTAATGTCATATTTTTCACTGATCACACCTCTTCTTAATTGTATTTGAACTTTTACAACAGCAAATCCTCTATTACAGTAGCATGACTTTTATATTGTTTAAAAAAATATCAAATGAATTCTCAAAAAGCTCTTCAAATTGATCATCATTTATTTCTTTGCCCAAACAAAGATAAATTGAATCTTCAATTGAAATGCGTGATTTGTTTAGTTTTCACAGCTTGTATTTTAAAAATTATATGACAACTCAAAATTTTTATGTCATAGCAGATTGTATCTCTACTTTCATGTTTTGTTTTGAGTCAACTTTTTCAAACAAACATTTTCTTTTTTTGTTATAACATACTGATAATAAAAAATTATCTGTTTGCAAAATTAAATTACTGTTGTAATTTAAGTTAAATTTTAAATGCAATTTAAACTCTCAAATCTATTTTTTTTAAATACCATTATGCGGTAGTGGTGTAGTGGTAGAGCGCTCGCTTCATAACGAGTGGTTCCGAGTTCGATCCCCACCACGTCCCTGGTAGTATTGCGATCAACTCGTTTCTCCGCGCAGCGGCCTTGCTTGTCAAGGTTCGTGTTTCGGAGTTATAGAGTTGAGAGAGGGTTATAACCACAAATAAGTAGCCTCCTCGTCTGTAGTGGCCTTCTCGGCCTTGAGGAGGTGAATTAAAATTAAAAAAAAAAAAAAAAATTTAAATAAATATACCATATAAATAAATGACACAATAAGCTCATATATTACATACTGTATGTACAAAAACATACTGTATGTACAAAAACATACTGTATGTACAAAAAATTATTACATACTGTATGTACAAAAAGGCTTTTTTTTTTCTTTTACTTTTATACATTTGATTAGATCAGACATTATAAAGTTAAAAAACAAATCAAAATTCGCAACTTTAATTTCAACTTTAAAATCAAAATTTGCAACATTAATTTTAATTTTAAAATCAAAACTCACAACTTTAATTTTAATTTTAAAATCAAAATTTGCAACATTAATGTTAGTTTCATAATCATTTTAATTTTAAGAATGTTTTAGAATATTCACCTTAAGAACAACTTATAGCAAGGGTGGCCACAACTTTTTTGATGACAGCTAAAGTTAGCTTTTTAGCTGTTAATTAGGGGTCGCAGGTTTTTATAAATATTTTATTTGAAATATTGATTTTTTTCATTTATGATATATTGCCTTGCAAAGGTATACCACACACACATATACTAGCTAAGGTATACCACACACACACATATATACTAGCCAGCTATTACGTACAGTACAAACAATAGTTTATTGATAATGATCACAAACCTGCCTTTTTTTCACACTGTTTTTAATGTCCATTGGCAACTGGCTGGTTGCAATTCCTAAAGTTTTCTGCAAGTATCTGTCAGGACAATTCTTGTTTTAGATATTGAAAATTTTATTTGATAAAAACACAGTTTCACACAAGTATGTGCTACCTAACAAGACATCCATCATTTTTGCATTGTCAACTAAGTTGCTGTACTTATTTTGGTGAAGATTTTTGTAAAATATCATCAACATGTGTTTTCAGGATTCAGCTTTCCTAAGGTTAGAAAATGACTGGATTTCCTAGTTCCTAACTGCTGCTCTCACACAGTCCTTAACTGTTGTTCCCACGAAGTTAATTTCAACTGAAACGCTAAAGTAAGATTTTTATAATTAATTTTTTTTTTTTTTGAATTTTTTGTTAAGTGTATTGTATTGTTAGAACAGGTCTACCAAAAATGAACACTTTTCAATGAAGCCCTTTTCTTTTAGCTCTGGTATATAACATTTGTTTATACTTTATAAAAAATCTAACACCGTTTGTCTTAAATTAAAAGTTCTCACCTTTAGAAAGTCATCTCACCTATTTAAAGTCATTTTTATCAAGAAATTTTAAATGTTTTAAATGCTTCCTTAAATTATATTTTTTGTGCACTGAAACAGATTCGTTACACATTAAATATGGTGTCACCAAATTAAATTTTGTTAAATGTCAATTTTTCATTGTTTTAAAGAAGAAAATTAAATAATCATTATAAATAAATTTTCAAAATTTAAAAAGTCTAAAACTAAAATAGAAAACTGTAAATATTTTATAAAAAACTTGTAAATATTACATTTCTTCAAAAATCTGTCAGTAAAATTATTAATAAAAATTTATATAACTGAGGAGTAAACAAATGGTTGCTGAGGACCGGATTTAGCCTGCAGGCCTTATTGTAACCACCCCTAACTTATATTTATATAAAAAATCAAAACCAAATAAAATAAATGCAGAGCTTTTCAAGTTTAGATTTTAAATGTTTTTAAAAAGATTACAGTTAATTTTTTCACTTGTGTGTGTGTGTGTGTGTGTGTGTGTGTGTGTGTGTGTGTGTGTGTGTGTGTGTGTGTGTATATATATCACATATATAAAAACAAATTTATAAAATTTAATGAGAATTAATGCAATTGTGCAGCCTAGGTCATAACTGCAACCCCAACCAAATTAAAGCCTAGGTTGTTATTATCTTAATCTAGCTGTTAAATTAAGTTAAACCTAAACATTTAAGAAACCAAGAATAGTCACAAAATTACTACAATTAAGACACAAAAAGAAATATAATTAAAACTTATTTAACTTTTTAGTGAATAAGTAACTAAAATAGAGTTTCAAGTTAAGTAACTAAGTAACATTAAGTAACATTAAGTAACCAAGTAACATTAAGTTAACATTACCAAATTAGGTTTGTAGTAATAATGAACACAAATGCTTCCAGCAAACATAGATAAAAATGCTGATGCGGAAAATCTGAGATAGTATCCCCAAGTAACATTGAACGGCATTTTTAAACAATTTTCTGCAATATAAACATTTTTTTTTTAATATATACATGATACATACATGATACATACATAAACACATACACATTTACATACATACATACATACAACTCCCAGAATTAGAAAAAATGAGGTCAGCAAATTATTGACGACCTCGATATTTTAGAGGTTGGCAAAAAAATGGATACAAAGGTCTTACAATAAAGCATAGAAATGAGTTCATAGAGAATTTAAAATTTTTTACTCACATAATATAATTACCAACTTATTTAGTTCAAGATATCCATTTAAATATTTAGATAAGGGGTACATGCTATCTGTGAGAAAAATAGCTGATGCCATCTAGTATCATCAGTAGAAACTTGTATCACAATGAGGTTCTTCAAAAAAGAGCATCACAAACTTGCTATTCTTAACTGATACGAATCTGATCAAGGAAACCTGATTCATATCAGTTGTGAACAAATAAATCCTCAACTCCTTTTTTCTAACAAAACACATTTTGTGTTCAATTTTTTTTATTTGGCTAATCAATTTTTATAATAATAAAAAATAACTTTTATTAAACATTCTTTAGTGTATTATGAAAAAAGCTGTTTTGATTGTGTTTTTCATAAAATGTTTAACTTGCTATTATAAACTACCATGGTGACTGTATTTTAAACTCCCTTTTTAAAGTGTATATATTATTATTTTTATAAATGGAAACAACAAACTAGGAGTTAGTTGACTCAATTTAATTATTACTTAGTAGATTACTATGCAGTGTATAAAAAAACGAGAAAATTGATAAACTTTATTTGCTAAAACTCCTTACAAACTTTTTGTTTAAATTAAATTTCAGGACTCACTTACCTTGATTTTCAATAATATAGAAGTTTCATTTACATAAGTTTTATTTTGCATATTCTGTTTTGATTTCCTTAACAGTTGTTTACTTGATGATGTTAAACCCTAACAATGATGTTAAAGTGATGTAACATCATAAATAAAAAAAACCTTACCTAAACCCTCAGTTGATTAAACAGCAACTCCCTTACATGTTCTCCCTGTATCAGTCAATGCATGTACTGAACACCTTGCAGCTTCCTAATTAGTATGATATATGATTGCCAATCTAAGTCTGCTTTTATATTTGTGTGTGTCATATAAACACGCACACATGCATACTTATTTTTTCTGGTTTAGTCAACACTTTTTTAACTTAATGTTTAAAACAATTTTTATGCTTTAAAAACAATTTTTTTTTTAAAAAAAAAAACCTTTATTGCATGGTAACTGTTATTGCATGGTAACTTTATTGAATGGTAACTTTATTGAATGGTAACTTTTATTGCATGGTAACTTGGAACTTTGATACAAAAAACAAAGCTTTAATTGCTTTTTTTTATAACCATATTATGTTTATTATTTGTTTTTATACATATTGTAAAACAGAAAAAAAAACAATTTGATATACCAATAAAAATAAAGAATACAAAAACTCAATGGAGACAGTGAGGTCTTGTTGCAGAGCAATTCTTACAGTTATATCTGAGAAGATTTGTCTTGTTCGAATTGAACTAAATGCTCAGTTCTAAATCTAGGCATCATTCCATTTTATCATTTTTATTTTTAAAAGAAACAAAGTGAACATGCAAACGGAAAACATATTGTGAAAAAAATGTATATAAAAATGTATGCAAATACAAAAAATCTGTTTTAAACGCACAAAATATAGAAGAAAAAAAATATTAAAATAAAAATAAAAATATAACATAATAAAAGAACAAAGGATAGCTTTTATTGCAGGAAACAGAGCAGTATTTAAATCAAACCCAAATTTACATAGTACCAGCCAGCCTGGAACCAGTATAATAATATGCAACTGCTCAAAAATTTACGAAGGTGAAGCAAAAATGCAGGTAAATTAGAGTAGCTGATTTGTCTGCATTTTTTCGACAGCTCTTCTGATTTACCATGCAGGTAAATCAGAGGTGCAGTCTAAAAAAACCTTATCAACCTGCATTAGTGTTTCATAAAATCTTTTGTAATATAAAATTTTATTTGGGAAAAAACAAGAACATTAAAGCTAGAAAAAAAAAAGTTTGAAAGAAAAACTCTGCACAAAACAGCGGGATTAATCTTGATAAATGGCCAATATGTCAAAACTCAAATACTTTAGACACCATTTATTAAATTTAAAAGCAAATGAAGCCATTCAACCACTGACATCAATAGTAACAATTTTATATATACAATAACAGTTAAAAATTATTGTAATATTTAACAAGCTGATAATGCTGGTATCCATAACACAGCAAAAATTTCTTGAATAATAAAATTATTAGTATTGAGTAAAACTATATTTCTTGATTTTTTAAAATAATATATAATATACTCTAATGCAAGATGTCATCTTTCAAAAGTGAACATATATATATATATATATATATATATATATATATATATATATATATATATATATTATATATATATATATATATATATATATATATACACCTTCAGAAAAAAACTGGAGTGGAGTGGAGATCAATTTTTTTAAGTAATTCTAAATAAATGTCACTGGAGTGACATTTATTTAGAATTACTTAAAAAAATTGATCTATTAATTATTGAACAATGCAATGGCTGACGCTTTTATTTAACGATTTTATAAATAAATTAAAAAAAAAAGAAAGAAAGAAAGATAGAGAAAAAATAATAAAATAAGAAAAATAAATATAAAGCGAGTGAAGATAAGAAAAAGAAGGAAACGAAAAAGCAAAAAACAAACAAAAAACCAAATCAAACTAACAAAAAAAAAAAAAAAAAAAAAAAAAAAAAAAAAAAAAAAAAAGAAACGAGAAAAGAAAAAGATAAGAGAAAAGACAAAAATCCAAAGTAAAAGAAAAAACATTTGAAAATGAAAAGTAATTAAATGCAATTAAAATAAAATATAAAAATTGCTCCGTTTTTGAAGAAATGTAAAAGATTATTTTTTAAATTTTATTAATTTTGAGGGACGTTTGTCTTTTTTGTTGTTGTTTTTTGTTTTTGTATTCTTGTGTATTGTTAATTGGGCATTGTAGAGTATAATTCATTTTGTTTGCATCGTATGTTTTTTAATTTAAATTTTTTAAATTTTATGTTTGTTGGACATTTAAAAAAATGTATATATTTTTAAAGCTGTATATGTATCTATACGTGTATGTATACATAGCTATGTGAGTGCATGTACGCGCGCGTGTGTATTTACGTGCAAATATGTATCTATGCATGTGAGTAAGTATGTGTATATATCTTTATATTTGCGTTTGTGTGTGCATGTAACAATATTAAACTTTATCATTTTTTTTAATGCTTTTTTGTTTTTCTTCATTTTATTTTTAATTTTTATCATGTTTTTTGTTATAATTTTATTTCTTTTAAATTTAAATATTTATCGTAGCCACAATTATTACTATTTTTAACTTTACTATCAATATTCATATTTTATTATTTTCAATTTAAATAAATATTTTATGTTCTTGTTAGTTGTTACGTTTTATCAGTCAATTGTTGGTAATTAACTTATATGTATATTTAACTATTGTGTTTATAAAAACAAGTGACTTATTATTTGATTATTTTTTTAATAGAATTAATATTATGATTGTTGTTGTTTGTTTTATTATTATTGGGGTTCTTATGTTTATTACAATAAATATTATATTTATTATTATATTTATTATTCTTATAATTATTACTAATTATATATATAAAGATCTATATTTTTGGTGTTTACTTGATATTAGTAGAATTACTATTTGTAAATATCCATGAAATTATTTTTCAGAATATATATATATATATATATATATATATATATATATATATATATATATATATATATATATATATATATATATATATATATATATATATATATATATATGATATATGATATTGAGTCAATAATAATATATAGTTAAAATGTGACTTTTTAAAGCCTAAAACAAGTTACACAAGAAAAAATAAATTAGCTTTATGTAACATGCAATTTGAATAAAAAAATGTGCAATTTTTACCTGCTTAATCACACAATAAATACATCTAAAATTACGCATAAATCATTTGTAATATAAAATTTTAGTGAAAAAAAGCTTGAAATACTATGTATTACCAGACTTCTTTTTTTAGCATGCGTCGTTCTGCTTCTTTGCGCAAAGTTGTATCGTCTTAAAAATTAGATATATATAAAATTATTCAATTTCAAAAATAATAACTATTATGTATATATAAATTTTAGATAAAAAAATTTTTGATATAGGTTTACACAATTTTAATAAATTTTATTTTAACTATAAATAATTTTATTTAACAGCAAATTTTTTAATAACTTTTATTACCCTAAAAATAATATTTATATTTCAGAAATGTCTTATTTACAAATAATATACCTAAGTGATCATCAATAAATTAAGCAATTAACTAATAAACAAAACAAATAAGATCAAAAGTTATAAAATTTTAGTGAAAAAAAGCTTGAAATACTATGTATTACCAGACTTCTTTTTTTAGTTTGCGCAAACTAAAAAAAAGCAAAGACTTTATTACTAAACAATAGTTTTTAATAAGTTTTGAAATTTTGAAGCAAAGCTAAAAAAAGAAGGTGTTATAAAAATATAAAATCAGATCAAAAATAAAATCCTTCACAGAACTTTTATTTTTCTTCACAGATCACAATTAAACCAAAACTCAAATTAGTTCTTTAAGTTCAATAAAATCGCTTAGCAAACATGCGAATGATCTCCTAGTTTTATTTTTACTTTAAAGTTTCACATTGCATAATTTATGGACAATCCATAACTCTAATATATTTATAGATAACTGTACAGCAGTGTACATCTACTGAATATAGGGATAACATGCAGCAGAGTGTACATACTTTGCTGGCTTAAATAGGCAGAACATGCAGGGAGAATACATAAATTGACTAATCTAAATAAGGAAAACATGCAGAGTGTACACACATCAACTCACTTATTAGGGATAATAAACATAAAAGAGGGTGTGACACATTGTGTGTCACACTCTTTTATGTTTCAGTTTTTATGATAATTTTTAAAGAACTTAAAAAAATTAAACTTTATAAAGTTTATCAATAAAAGAAAAGTCAAACTTTTATTTATATGAATACTATACAATAATTTTATTTTTAAGCTTCAAATTGTTTGAAATATTCTTAAGCTCAATATCAAAATATATAATACTTTGCTGGTTTGTATATTCAAAAATATTCAAAAAATCTTAAAAAAATTGTAAAACAAAAAAAATTAAAAACACTTTCTGACAATTATTTGAAAAAACACTTAGCTAATTAAATACAATATTATAAATTTTAAAAAATTTATAAACTTAAAAAATCATTTATATATGACCAATGAAGCCATCTAGTCAAGCAGACATGGAAGTAATGATTTCAAAAACAGATTGGAGATTGTAGAGTTGGTAAGTGATAATACAAAAGAATAGATATATAGGAGTAGTGAGACTCTATTTTGAAAAAGTTATGTTATTAATTTGCAAAATAAAATTAGGATTTTAAAACATTATTGAAAAAATAATAAAAAGTTAAAAAAAAATTTAAAAAAAACAAACCATTTACTCATTAACTTAAAAAAGTTTAATCATTATAATTTCTTAAATAATACAAGCCTCGGTCATGGTTGACTAGGCAACGCTTTTAAAAACAGTTAATATAAACACTTTTGTCATGTAAAGAAAAAAAACCATCAATTTGAAACTATACATAAATAAATATTTTAAAATAAAACTTAAAATTAACTTTAAATCAAATTATACATACATACATATGTACATACATATAAACATATATATATATATATATATATATATATATATATATATATATATATATATATATATATATATATATATATATATATATATGTATAAATATGATTAAAAAGATTTATAATTTTATAGTAAAATTTTGGCTAATATAGTATAAGCCATTGTCAAACTGAAAAAATGATGCCATTGCAACGTTACAGATTCAGACATGTTTAGTTTTACAAAAAGTGGTCTCTAAAAACATGTCATCACTAAATTACTATTGTTGTTTTTTAAGACTTTCTCTTGCGATCTTGAGTATTGCAAATGCTATATCTCAATTGCTTCCCAAATCTTACGTGTATAGTTATTAGGTGTAACAAAAATTAAGTTAATTGTACCACTACACTAGTACACTACAATTGTACACACTTGCGTGTGTTCGACTATACCTGATGCATCTCAGTTGCCTTTAGTTATAATTCTCTCATGTTCATTAACGTGTGTAGATGTTTTCTTTCTTGTTTCACCAACATAACTTTCACCAGATGAACAATCTAACTGATAAACACCCAGATAACTGAGAAACACCCAGATGAACAATCTAACTAATAAACACCCAGATAACTGATAAAGACTAATCTAACTGAGAAACACCGAGATAAGATATTTGGATGCAATATTGATTCATTGCAACATGTGTTAAAGAATTACCAAAAAAACGATTTTTATACCTACTCTATGAAACTCTATATGTAGGCATAATGCTTAGTTTTGATTTCCATTGCAGTATGATAATTTATTTAGAGTTTATTTGCTGGTTTTTGTACTTTTTATGTGATAGTTTATAACTTTCATATACAGAATATTCAGAATAAAATTGAGTTTCTTGTTTGAGTTTTTTGTTTCCCAAAATGAACACTCATATTCATACAAACAATGTTCATTCGCCAAAAATTATCAACACACATAAAATATTAAAAAAAAACAGCAAATAGATCTTGGAAAAATTATCAAACTTCTGTGGATACCACAACAAAGCATTATACTTAAAAAAAAGTTTTGTAAAGTAGGTATAAAAACAGTTTTTTCCTATGGTATTTCTTTACTTCAATTACGACAATTATAGTGTCAGTATATTAAAAAATTTTGAAATTTCAAATTGATTTTATTTGCTATTTAAAAATGGCAAATTGAATGATTATTTAAATTCTAAATAAAATAACTAAAATAAAAACAAAAAAAAAACAAATGTTTTATTCAAGTTCTGAAATTTTTTTTGAAAGAAACCCCACAAAACAAACGTATTATTTGATTTTGTTAATAAAATAATAAAAATAAAAATTGAATAGAACAATTAGTTTAAAGTCTAAATAAAATAATTAAAATAAAAGCAGCAAAACATTTTCTTTTAATTCTGAAAATTATAAAACATTTTCTTTTAATTTTGAACATAGTTAAAAACAACAGTAAAACGAACGTTATATTTAAATTCTATTTAAAATAATAAAAATTTAAAAAATTTAAAAAAACAGACGTTTTAATCGTAATCTAAAAGAACATTAAATTAAATATAATACAAAAAAAAATTATAAATTAATACAAAAAAAAAAAAAAAAATTGAACAATTTATTATAAATTCGAATAAAACTATTTAAGAAAAAGAAAAGCGAAACCAATGCGAAACAAAAGAACAGCGAAATAAACGTAGTATTGCATTTTTAAAATAATATAGTCAAAATAAAAATGGATAAAAATATGTCATTTAAATGCTAAATCAAACAATTAAAATAAAAACAGCAACAATATTTAAATTAAATTCTAAATTAAATAATACAGAAAAATAAGCTGGAAAAACAAAGTTTTTTTTTTAAATTCTATTTTTATAAAATAATATAAAAAAACTGGTAAAACAAAAATTCTATTTGAGTTCTATTTAAATTATAAACAAAACAAAATAAAAATGGAAAAATAAAAGTTTTTCTAATTAAAATAATTAAAATAAAGTCTTGCAGACTTTAATTATTTTAATTACTTTTGTTCCTGTTTCAAATTTTTAAACAAACATTGAGGTTTAAAAGAAAAGTTGAAGAACTTGGCATTTGTTTTTCTGTCAATTTCATTGTAAATGTTTACACGCTTGTTAATTTGTCAAACCATAATTCAAAATTTTGTGCCAACCTGATGCCGACCTAAAACAGTTTTACATCTGCAATTTTTTACAGACATTATTTTTCCTAACTCCAAACTCCAAGGGCTGATATATATATATATATATATATATATATATATTATATATATATATATATATATATATATATATATATATGTATATATATATATATATATATATATATATATATATATATATATATATATATATATATATATATATATATATATATATATATATATATATATATATATATATATATATATATATATATATATATATAAACACACACACACAAATAATTATTATATATGTTTATACTTAGAACTTACTGAATATACCAAAATACAAAATATATAAAAAAATTTAAAAACTTACAAAATGTTTCTTTTCCAACACGGACTTTAATCATAAACCATTCAATACCAGCTCCAACAAAAAAAAATAAAGGTAATAACTTATAAGGATTTCTTTTTTTCATTGAAACTAAAAAGAATTAAAGAAACACACAGAATTTCAATACTGGGTCATTCTATATCAAATCAGCAGAAAAACTCAAAAAAATGCCACTCCATGTTTTGGATTTTGCTAATTTTTGTATATGTTATAGGGTTTATGAAAACTAGCAAAATCTGAAAGTTGGAACCTCTATTTCCTTACAGTTTTTTAGGTATTGAGATTTTGATTTTCTTATTTATGATGACTCGGGATTTTCTGTAAAATATTTTTTTTGTCATTAAATAGCAATATTTAATAAACAGAATGAGGTATTGATTTAAAATTCTATCACACAACAGATTTGAGTAATTTATTTAAAACAATTTGGAGGCAAATGGGGTAGGAAAAAATAGCCCTATCAAAGCCCTATTGTACCCACCCCAGGTATAAAAAATTAGTGCTAATGTATAAATTTATTACTGATCTTAAACTGACTTTAAAAATAACATTTTACTAACTAAAAGTTAAGATAATTAAGCTAATTAGGCTATAAGCTAATTTTGTCATAATGAAGATAGAAATAATCTTTATAACCTTTACCAACTTAGCATTTAAATAAGCTTTACATAAAAATTTGTAATTAGAAAAGACAAAAAATGCAATAATATATTTTGCTTTAAAAGTGATGCTTGATATCTATGTCTATATATTATTGTTCGTCTGTATATCTATTACTATATAAATATATATTTAAAACCTATAATATCTAAAATTTAATATATTTTAAGTTATAAATAGCCAAAAAAAAATCATCAAGATGATATCACCATTTTGACCATCAAAGTACCCAAAAATATAAACCTTTATTATTTACATGTCTTTGAGGTGATCTAAGAAAGAAAAAAAAAAGATTTTACTTTATTTTTAAATCCACCACGTAAAAAATTGTCAAGTACCTAATTTCAGGTTGATAACTCATTCTATTTATTAAATATTGCTATTTTATGATAAAAAAAAGCAATTATGATTCAGCATTAATAATTATGATTCAGTATTAATAAGAAAATTTTTCCTAGTTTACATTACACCTTTACATTAAATTAGAACATGGTGACATGAGCCTGCTGATTTGACATGAAATGACTGTCGAAGTAAAACCTGTTTAAAAAATAATAATAATAAACAAGCTATAGACAGAAGAATGATAACAGTGGAATAAAAAAGTCATATAAAATCATATTTTAAATTCTGTATCATATTTTAAATTCTGACATTTATTATTTTAAAAATATGGCATAAACATTCTTACAAAAAAAGATCAAACTCAATTTTAATATAAAATTGTAAAATAAGAAATCTTAGAAACCTAAGAAATCTTAGAAAAAAAGACATTTTGATTTACTATTTTTTAAAAATTTATTAAGAACATAAGGTCTCCATAAATATCATTTATAAAAGCTATTTATTTGAAGAACACTATTAAAAGCTAATAATTTGGAGAACATCTCTAAAATAAGAAAAGAAAAAAAAAAAGAAAAAAAGAACGCAAATTTTCTAAATATCTGAGAGTTCACAAATAAAATATCTTTTTGTACACAATATTTTAAAAACAAATTAAAGAAGTTTAAAAAAAAATGTATTGTAATACTTCAAAGAAAAAAAAATTACACATGATCTAATGAAGGATCTTCATTTTCATTTTCATAAAATGTTTCTAAAAGGAATATAGCTTTATTCCTCACTTTGTCAGACTCGCTACATTCCAAACCTTCTAAATATGATGGACCATCTAAAGCAGAAAATAGTTTTTCTCCTTCACCTCCCTGTTTTATAAGAAGTTCAAAAAAATGTAAAGCAATGAACTTCAGTTCATTGCTTGGCACTGTAAGAAAATCAATAAAGTGTTGAATAGTTTCTTTTGTAGCAGCAAGTGCACCAACTTCTTTATCATAAGAAATAATATTACACATACATATAGCAGCCTAAAATAAAAAAATACAAATTAATTCACTTTTAAACTAATATATGGCTAGTCCTAAACAAAAATGCAACCAAAAAATATCAAACAATTTTTTTTGTTATAGCCATATAAGTTCTAATTATTTATTTACACAAACTTTTTGTGCTTTAAAACTTGCATATTTGTTAACTATTTCAAAATATTTTGAATTATGTGCTATCTGAAAATGATATTGAGTGTAGCTCAGGCATTACAATAACATTATTGTCAAACATGGTTCCCAGACCCTGGGTAAAATACTCCTCCTCCCCTCACTTCTTATAGGCCATATATATATAAATATATATATATATATATATATATATATATATATATATATATATATATATATATATATATATATATATATATATATATATACACATAAAGCTCTTTATTAAAAACACAACATAAGGTAAAGACATTCTTCAGTGAAACATTTTTTTTTTAAATGTTTCACTGAAGAATGTCTTTACCTTATTTATTTTTATTAAAAGACTGGCTTTTATTATTATTAAATAACTTTAATTGTTCTTCATTTCATAATATTAAATTGAAAACTATCGTTTTTTCAAATGCAAATGTAATTTTATTTGTCGACATTAAATTTTAGAAATTAGAAATAATATTTGTTAATCATGTTATAAATATATAAAATATGTTATAAATAAAAAGCGTATTGTAGTATTTTTTTTAAAAAAACAACATTTTTTTTGAGAACCGTTTTGTAACAAAAGCATATTAATCATTTAGTTTTTAAATAAGTTATATCAGTTAATTTGATTCATACAATCATAATAATTTGAGTCTTATTTAAGCAGATTTCTAATCATACTATTTAGTTACTAGGCTTAAAACTGTAAAAAGTATTTTGTAGTTACGATGGAGAAAAAAACAAAAAGAAAATTTTTATTTGTTATCAAACTTGAAATTCGAAATTAAACAAAATTTCACGAACAAAAAGTAAAAACCAACTGGTTGACCATTTTCCCAATTAAAAAAAAAACTGTTTTTTTAACCCAACTTTCTGTTCTGTATTTTACTAACTCAAACTCACATTTTAACAAAACTTTTAATACTGTTTATTTCAAAACCTACTAAAACAAAAAATTAAAATGAACAAGCAAATCTAGTTAACATTTAATCTTAAAATAAAGTTCCATGTAAAGGTTTACAGATTATTTTATAACCAACACTCACCTCTTTTTTGATTTCATATGCTGATAATAGATGTCGTGATATGTTTGGAATCAGAAGTTTAACAGACTCAATGTAATTTTTGAGATCGAAGTTGCATGCAAAAATATTGGCTAACACCCAAAGACACTCTTTAATTAAATGTCTTTTGTTAGAAAATAGAAAGTTATTGAGGGTTTCCAGTAGACTACCATTTTCTAATGTAAATATTGAATTGAGATTTGAAATACTTTTGATGCCTATGATGTTACCTACATTTAAAAAAGAAATAAAATATTTTAAATATTATTTTAATATTTAAAAATATCCTAAATATAAAAGTTATTAAAATATATACAGATTTATATACATATACATATAAACACATATATACATATATATCAGCCCTCGGAATTAGGGTCGACATTAGGCAATGCCAACCTAACTGCCGACCTAAAAATGTTTGAGGTTGTATATATATATATATATATATATATATATATATATATATATATATATATATATATATATATATATATATATATATATAAAGCAATCGCGAACCGCAATTGCTTTTCACACCTCTGTGATTAGTTTTTTCTTTAAAAATATTTTTGCATTTTTTTATTATTATTATTTTTTTAACTTTGCATATTTTTTGGCCATTTTTAAGCTTTTTTATTAGGGGTCATAAAGTATGTCACGCTAAATTTATCTTTTAAATAAAAGTTTGATCATTTGCCCTTTAGCACAGAGGTTTTTATTCAACATAAAGTACTTTTGAATTTAAATTACTTTGAATCTCTGTGTGGAAGCCAATAATATTTTAAAGTTATATTTAATTTGATTTACTGAATGGATAAAGTACATCACAGTTAGTTTACCTATAAACTAAATCAGAAAAAAAGATGTAAAAGACTCACAGAAAACTAAAGACTTGCAAAAGTTAGCCATACAAATGTTTCTATTTATATCTTATATGTTGTTAACAGATAATATATGCTTCTCACTAAAAATTATTTTAACAAGAAATCTCGAATAGGATATGAAAAATGTGATTTCATATTTTATTATTTTCATTTTATTTAAAGTGATATCAGGATTTAACATTTTCTATAAATATGCAAGTTGTTTTTAGGAATTTAAAAAAAAAAAAAACCTTTTTGAACCAAATCAAATTTTTTTCTCACTTTTTATTACAAAACAATTTGAACGAAAAAATTGAATTGAAAACATTAGCTTAAAAACCATTTGAATGAAAAAATTATTTATACCTAAATTTTTAATAGTAATTTAATTTTTAATATTTTATTCATTTATTTTGTAATTTATTTGCATTTAAAAATAAGAAATACAAAAAGGTGATAAAGGTAATACCAAAATTACTCTTATTTAACACTGGAAAAAAAAAAACTGGTTAAAATAGTTGATGAACATTGTTCTTTTTTTCAATTTGGTTTGAACAAAGACAAAGTGGACAAGTAAACAATATAATCAGGTAGAGAATTCCATATCTTAATAATTTTTTCACAATAGAAAAAACTGAGTATTATTTTTATCTTTATTACGTGAATAAGTTTTGGGGCACAACATCTTGCATGATAGTAAAAAGGAGCAAATGTAAAAAACTCAGAAAAAGGTAGATCGACAAGGTTGAGTATAATTTTATAGGTCATTACAAGATCAAATTCTACAGCATTCACGAGATTTTAGATTAAAGATATTGAAGAATAAGGAATACAACATCTTACAGACTTACATCTTACATCAGTAAAAGATATCAGTAAAATGGATGAAACTACAGAGCAGGTTTTTTTTTTTAATTTTCTGTTTTTTTTTCTCTCACTAAAATGACCATAAATCTTAATTAAATTATTTTTTTTAATTTGTTTATGCTTTTAAAAAAAAGATTACTTTCACATTGAATATAAACAGAATTCTTTTTTTACATTTTCTTATGTAACATAGTTTTTGAGTTTATCTTGAAAACAAAAATTCACAGACAGACAGACAACTGCTATGCTTTTATATAACACACACACACACACACACACACACACACACACACACACACACACACACACACAAGATATTGTCGCTGCAAAATCAAGATTATCTTAAGTCCATTTTTTTCTGTTCTGAGAAAAACGCATTTAAAGTTTTTAGTTCATCACTGCGTTTGAACTTCTTTATTAAACTAAATTGTTTTCAAAATACTTATAGATTATGTTAATATTTTTCATAAAATAACAAATAAAAAATAAAATTTTAAGTTTATAAGAAGCAACAATGCAAATGGACTTAAGATAGTCTTAAAGCTATATAAAATATGTCAAAATTCTACAAATTAAATTGCCGCTGCAAAACAAGACAATCTTAAGTCCATTTTTCTGCTCTGAGAAAAAGACATTTAAAGTATTAAATTTAATGACTGCTTCTGATTTTTTTAAATATTACTATTTTTAAATCTACTTGTTGTCAGTTATTTATTATACATGTTATGTATATATATATATATATATAGTCAGCGAAATTCGAAGAATTTCAGGTCGACACACTTGAGCCAACCTTAGCCGACATTGAGTCGGCAAAAAAAAAAAATTGGATTTTTTGCTTTCTATTACGACAGGGGTAATGATTAATTGATAATAAAAGGATTGCTTTATAATAGCATAGCTTTAGACAATAATATTTTAAAGAATGTAGCATTTAAATTTTGTGTAGTAAATCAAGTATATAGCAAATTTATGAATTAGTGATTTTTTAGTTTTAAAGTTCTTGTTTTTTTTTACAAAAATAAATGGTCATAGTTTATTATATTTTAATTGGTTTTTTAGATTGCTCATAGAAAGTATGTTGTTTAGAAATACAAATTTAGTTTATGTGCTGTAGGCAAAGATTTTGTTTAAAACAGCAAACTGTTTTACAAAAGTGAGTAGACAGTCTGGTTGTTTAACCTCTACAAGAAATAAGCATTTAATTCTCCAGTAGTCAGGGTGTTGTTTTTCAATACTTAATTGTAGTATAGTATGAACTTGTAACTATATGTAAATTGATGGAGGGAAAACAAAAGTTAAAAATACTACAAATAGTTTTTTTTCTTATATATAAACATTGTTTCCGTACATTATCAGAATTTTCTGTCAAATCATCATCAGAAATATCGCTTAAGTTAATGTTAGAAATCAAATTTTCTTGATCAGAAGATTCACTGTCAGAAAAAACAAGGGTTTGCAAAGCCTAATATACTTTCTGATTTAAATAATATTAAAAAAAATGTAAACATGTAAATTATTTTATTAGTTAAATGGTTCTAACTAATAAAATAAATTAAAACTTTATATTTTAATAAAATAATAACTTCTCTAAAATAAGTGTGAGAACAATAGGCATTTAAAAAGTAATATTTTTAAACCTTGCTATGCTTGAATAAATTTGAGAAAAAAAGAAAAAATGAATTGAAAAAAAAATGTTTAAATAAAACATGTCAAACTTGAAAAGCAAGTAATTACAATAAAAAAAATTATAAAATAATATTTAACGAATATTATATATTTTTTACATGTATTTCAATTTGCATGCTGACATTTTAGGATATTCAGGTCGGCAATTGTATGTCGTCCTAAAGCAAAGATAGGTCGGCTTTTGTGTCAGCATTGCCAAATGTGACGCAAAAGCTGACCTATCCAAAAGTGGGAGCAATCGCTCTCTAATACTGACCACAGAAATAATATTTAGTTGTAAAAAACTGGACAGGTTTTTCAGTTGTTTTGAGAATATTTTAGTTTATGTATGTCCGTAAAACAAAAAAAAAATTTTTACGGACATACATGGAAACATACATAAACTTGAATGTTCTCAAAACATCTTATTTCGGAAAAATAAAAAGAATATTCACAAATACTAAAAACCCGCCAAACTTAGGAACAACCTAATTCTATTGGTTCGCTGACTAAGAGAATAAAGTTCTAGATTATTCTGTTGAAATGTTTTAGCAATTGTATCTATCAAGATTTGTTAAGTTTTAAGATTCCTATCATAAATTGTTTTAAGAGTATATTATCAAACAAACTATTACTTTAATACCATGGCTCATTCTTGGAGCCAAATTTAAAATGGGCCAAAATTTGCAATGCTGTAAATCTTTCAAACTATTATTATTTGTTTACAAGAATAAATGTTTCATTATTTTTTAAATTGTCAAAATTTTGAAAGTTTATTATAAATTATAGATTTTATTAGTATATTCTTATCTTTTATTTAAAAAGTATGTATTTTTTATGTAAATGTAATTTTGTGTTTTTTATTCTAGTGTAATCCTTTAAAGCAATTTTACGATTTATTTTGTAATAAAGACTACAAAGACTTTTGTACAAAGACTGCAACAATAATTGCGTTTTTAATGAAGTTATTAATAATCATCTAAGTTAATAAAACTAATTATGAAATAAACATACAAGAAGTTTCTGGTTACTAAACACAAACATGCATATAAAGTAAGTCACGGATGAACAAGCACCGTGCCTGAGGTCACAACATAACACAAATATATAGAAAGTTATTAGATATAAAGAAAAGTTTGTAGATATTGGTTTACTAACACTAATTATTTTCGCTTCAGTTGACATTTTTAAACACTTGTTATACTTTTTTCTGTTTTAAATACTAGTTAAAATTAAAAAGCCCACTCACTAAACAACATCAGCGATATTGTGAAGCAGTTTCACTTCCTCATCATAAAGTATTTTAACCTTTTTAGTTGATTTCTATCTAGTTAATTTAACTTCTAGAGTAACTCAATGATTTAATTATTTAATTTCTTAATTTTACTAAGAAGAATTGTTTCAAATATGTTAAACTTTTCATACTACACGAAGCAAATGATAGTTACTTAAAAAATTAACTTTTTTATTTAAAAAATAAATTAGCTTAAATAAAACTAAAACTAGCGTTAGTTTTATTAGAATCTTGTTTGACTTTTTGGTGCCGGCGACTATTTTTATTTTAGAGGACTTTTTTATGTGCCACAGTGTAAAAATGACTAAAAAAAGGTCTTCTTAATTATTTCGAGGCCCCTATCATTGCGGGGCCCGGGGCTATAACCCCCTCTAACCAAACCCACCTTATTCTAGCACTGAAAATAAGACACTAGTATATATATAAAAATTAAATAACACTCTTTGATAAATAAAAGAACATTTGTTTCCTTATATGAATTCATATATATGTATATTTATATATATACATATATATGAATTCTGTTTAATTTACAAAACTAATACTCACCTAAATCACGCAATAAAGGAGTTACAGCAAAGAGATATTCTTGTTGGTGAGGTCTAACTTTGCAAAGCCAATGAACCAAACAAGGCAAAATACCTTTCTCAACAAACACTAAACAATGATTTTCATCCATGGTCATATATGAAAGTAGCCATGCTAACTCTCCTATAATATTCAGATCTGTAGTTAAATTGTTTAGTATTTCAATAAGCGTGTTTGGTATAGCTGAGTCAAAAAGTTCAGGTATTACTAGTTCAGGTGATCGAGCCATATTGCAAAGAGCAAATAGGGATGCTTGCAGAGCACCAGAGTAGTTTTTCTGGAAAAAAATATAACACTAATGTAAGCTGGTATTGAAACTAATGATGCCTATAATTAAATATATTAGTTTGAATCCTAAAATAACTAAAAAATCAATAACTAAAAAATAATCATTTGGTTCAAAAGTATTTAACAACTAAATCAAAAATAGAGTTTTAAGTTGTTTAAAAATTTTTCATTGTCTTAAAACTCTTAAAGTACAACATCCATGTTCATGCACTCTAAAACTTAAAGTACAACAAACATGTTCACACACATCACTCTTAAACTTCAAGTACATTTTCACGTACTCAACCATTAGTAAATCTGAATTAGTTATAAACAATTTAAAAATATTAAGTCCAAGTTTTTTATTTTGTTTATAATAAAAAATCAAAAGTTGTACACATTAAAACAATTTAAAACTACCTTCTATGATTAAATCTATCGATAGATAACTATTAATGTAGAAGACACATGGCTAACACTTTTAAATTTATATAAATCAAACTGTTTAAACCATTGTTTATAAAGAAGTTAATATTATCATGCAGTTAATTTTTTTTTTTAAACATTTAAAAAATATATTAACTGCATAATTTATTAGCAAGCACAACTTAATAAAATGGTAGCAATTTTTTATTTTATTTTACAATAAAACAATAAATCTGAATTGTATTATCCCCCAGCAGCAGGTTATTTCATTGTGACGCCAGGGATGTTATGCATTCATAGTTATATACATTCATAGTTACATACATTCATATATATATATATATATATATATATATATATATATATATATATATATATATATATATATATATATATATATATATATATATATATACATATACATATAAACATTTATATGTATATATAGAACATTTCCGAAAAATCACGCACGGAAATTCATATATGTTTTGTCTATTATTTTCATAATAACAATCTCCAATTTGCTCTCATTTAATTCTAACCTATATAAATATTTTGTAAACAAAAAATGGTATATATTAGTAATGTAAACAACGAATAAATTAAGCTTGAAGCGGAATCACGCACAGAACAGAAAAACTCAAATTTTAGTTACTAGATAAATAAACTTTAATTCTTTAAAAAATATAAGTTTCAGCATTATATTTTTTGAAATGATGTTTTAAACATTATTAAAGTTTTCGAGAAAATTACAGGATTGCACTATGTATCATATAGTCGCAGCAATCGTTTAAATGCAGTTCATGAATGATCATGCACGGTAGTCACACACTGAAAGTTGCAAATTTTTTTAATTTCATGTAGATATTTTTAAGAAAACAAATTGCTTGAGAGTATTTTAAGTGAAATACTATACTTCTACGACTCATATTTAATAGATTTTTGATAAGAAGCAGCAATCATCAATTATTTCTGGCTAGAGTATAGCGTTTTGAAAAAAAAAAAAATTTTTTAAACTGTAGTAACTATTACGCAAAAAAAAAAAATATATATATATATACATATTTAATTTATTCAGGTAGCCTAAAATATGAAAAAATGTTTTTATTAGAAATGTTTTTAAGAAAATCATATTAGTATGCATATTGCTTTAAGTCCCAGCTTTTAATTGCTAAAACAAAGAAAAATAAAAAATCATGCACAGGAATGTAAATGCCCTATATACATGTATATGTATATGTATATATATATATATATATATATATATATATATATATATATATATATATATATATATATATATATACATATATATATATATATATATATATATATATACATATATGTATATATATATATATATATGTATATATATATATATATATATATATATATATATATATATATATATATACAGGCCTCGGCAGGAATAAATGGGAATAAATTTTTTTGTTGCAGCAACTGTGCTTTTTAAAAAGCATTGCAGTATATTATGCGATTAATTTTTTTTTAAATGATATTGTTTTTATTTTAGTTACAACGATACTTATACTTTCGTGAGAAAAACTATACATTCGAGAGAAAAACTATACTTTTGCAAGAGCCGTAAATTGTTCCTGTAAACCATTTTAGGGGAGTGTAAGCGAGAGGCGAAATTGGGAAATTAAGATAAGCGATATTGATCCCTTCAATAGGGAGCGAGAGCTAAAGCTCTCGCTCCCTGCCAAGGCCTGTATACATATATATATATATATATATATATATATATATATATATATATATATATATATATATATATATATATATATATATATATATATATATATATATATATATATATATATATATATAAATATGTATATATATATATATATATATATATATATATATATATATATATATATATATATATATATATATATATATATATATATATATATATATATAGGCCTTGTTTTAAATAAAAAATGCTTAACACAATAGGCTAATGTGATTTCACGTCATAAAAATCTCTTTATTTTTTTATTTTTTAAAGACATTAACTTTTTTAAATTACTGCAATAATATTAATTACCACAAAACGAGTTAAATGTTACTTAATTTTTTTTTATTATTACTATAAAGGAATTTTAATTTTTGTATTTTTTTATTATTAAATTTAAAATCGCATTTTTAAAAATGTTTGATATTAACAAATTTCTTTCTTTTCTCAACATTTGCATAAATGAATTAAAATACGTTAAATTTTTGAACTTTTAAATAATTAATTCTTAAATTTCTTATTGCGGCTTTGCAACTACAAATGATTTTTTATATCAAAAAAATAATAGAGTAACAAATAAAAATTATATATTTCTTTAATTACTTTATTTATTAAAAGTTAATTATTTGATTAACAATTTTGTTGTGAAAGCAAAGATTTTTTTTCCTAATATCATTTATTGAAACTATATTGCTGTATATATCGTTTATTAAAAAATAATTGGTGCGATTTAAGTTGCGTTATGAAAAATTTCAACTTACATTTAGTGCAAATTTTTGATGCAGCCATTTATATTAAAATTTAATTTCGATTAAAAAAAAATGTTCAAGAAGGAAAACTGAAAAAAGAATTGCGATAAAAAATGAGCTTATTTTTTTTAAGAACAAATAAAATTTAAATATTGAACAATATTTAGTAATATTATTGAATAAATTTGACAGTTAAGTTAAACCCATAAATTAACTTTAACTTTAATAAACTTAAATATATTTTTTAAATCACAATTAAATTATTTTTTTTTTAATCTAAATTAAATTATATATTTTTTCATCAGA